TTGAGGTTGGCAATATTGCAGGTTTCTCAGGTCAAACGGGAAGGGATCTTGTTGGACAAGATGAGTAGAGGAGAAAAGGAGGAACCTGTCTCGGAAGCACCAGCGTTTTCTGAATTGCAAAACCCCACCTCGTGTCGTTCATCTTGCTGGAACAGTTAACCAACTTGACATTTTCAGCATGCGGCTTGGTGTCCTGTCCCAGCTAGGGCTGGTCCCCACCAGCAGACCTCTGCCTTCCATTGGCAGTGGTGGCAGCAGCACAGACCTGCTATGGATGAGCTTCACTCCTGAGCTGGCAGCACTGGCTCTGCTCCCTCCACATCTTTCCTTTCCCCTGCAGAGAGATGCTCTTCTCCAACTCTCTGGCATGCAGCGAAGCTGTGGGTGATAGCTGGCCACATAGCCATCTTCCCAAGAGGTTCTTCCAGCAGATGTGCTTCTCTGGGTGTGCTCTGCTCTTTCTTTGCAGAGCTGTCCATATGCCATTTCTCCTTGAGGCTGATATGACCAGACACGGTTGCAGGAGTCATGAAAACTGGAATATTTCTGGATGCAACTGTTCTGTTGTTTGTGATTTGATGTATTCAGTTTTCTACCTTTTGAATCACTGAGCCATGACATGTCCTTGTTCTTGGAGAAGAAGGCTCTCACTCAACACTAGATCAAAAGGAATTGCTGGGGGTGAAATGTTCAATTTGCCTGCTCTGGGCTTATACATGCTGCATCAGTTTTGCAGCTTCTTCAAGGTTGTTTTGTTGTGGTGTTTTTTTTCTCTGCTTTTTCAAAAATAAAAAAGAAAAAAAGGTTTTGAAGGTAAGAAGAAACTTTGAGACAGTCAAGATGTGCAGTTAGATGCCATCAGCTGCATCTTTTTAACAGGATATTTATGCATTAGTCTACAGTCACTCTGTGTTGGTAGATAAGTAATCTTGTGTCTTGAAGGATCTAAAGAAACAGATTTTCCAGCCCTGAAAATCAGCTCTTGAGATGACCACAAATTGCTTTTATCCAACTATAGTTTTCAACAATCAGGGCTTTCTTCTTACATTAGATGAGGGTGCTGATATTTTTCATGTGGTCCAGTTGCTTGTTTCCTATCATCTTCAGGCTTGTTGGGTCACATCCCTGTGCATGCCCATGCTCAGACCATGGCCAAATGCTGACCACCGTGACCCAGTCAGCTGGCAGATGTAACACTGCAGAGACAGAGAGTGGCGAGAGGATAGCAAGGCAAGCTGAGCTGGTGGACTGAGCAAGTGCTGTATTTCACCTGATGCTATGGCTGATTCCATGGGGCATGCAGGCTGTCAGAAACTGCTCTCATGGTGTTCCTTCATGTCTGTCATTTGAAAATCGAATGACACGAAATTCCACTTTTCAGCCAGCATCACTCTCTCTGACTTCGTTTTCTCTCTGTGATGTTCAGGTGAACAGGAGTGCAAGGAGGTGTTCATGTCCACAGCCTTTCCCTTCCTCTTTCTAGAAGCTGAATTTTCTTCTGACATTGCTCAAGCGGGAGCCTAATGTTTTTGGAGTGAGAGGCACAGAAAATGAGGAGTCATTCCTCCTGGGTGATGAAGGGATTGAGAGCAGCCTGCGGAAAAGAACTTGGGGGTGCTGGTGGATGCAAAATTGCACATGAGCCTGCAATGTGCACTTGCAGCCCAGAAAGCCAATTGTATCCTGGGCTGCATCAAAAAAAGCACAGCCAGTAGGTCAAGGGAGGTGATTCTCCTCCTCTACTTCACTCTGGTGAAACCCCACCTGGAGAACTGTGTCCCGTTCTGGAGACCCCAACACAAGGACATGGAGCTGTTGGAGTGAGTTCAGAGGAGGGCTACAAAAATTAACAGAGGGCTGGAGCACCTCTCCTATAAAGACAGGCTGAGAGAGCTGGGCTTATAAGAAAGATTTATTTATTTATTATGTTTATTTTTTTACCAAGTGGCCAGTAGTGACAAGAGGTAACGGTTTTAAACTGAAAGAGCATAGATTTGGGTTGGACATCAGGAAGACATTTTTTATTGTATGAGGATGGTGAGACACTGGAACAGATTGCCCACGGAAATTGTGGATGCCCCATCCCTGAGAGTGTTCAAAGCCAGCTTGGACGGGGCTTTGGGCAACCTGATCTAGTGAAAGATGTCCCAGTATATAGCAGGGGGGGGGATTTGGTCTAGATGGTCTTTGAAGGTCCCCTCAAAATGTTCTGTTATTCTGCTCCAGAAGTAATCCACCTGAATACTTAAGAAACAACAACAAACAAAACCCCACAAGTCTGTGTTCTCAAGAGACTCTCATATTTTAAGGATGTTTTTTCTTATTCATGTTGCTTTCTGTCCCCCCAGCCATCGCCCAGCTTCACCCTGAAGGGCAGTGACCCCCCACAGCACTGGTCCCCCTTGGATGCTCTCCAGGCCATGGAGCAGCGTTCCTGCCAGATCTCTTGAGAGGCAGGAGCCAGGCTGAAAATGCTTGTTGTCTTTCAGCAACAACCACACTAGTGTTTGCTTTGTTGCATACTAATGAGCACTAATTGGCCTCGGCTTGTTATCAATGTTGTGCACGAGCTGTTTGTGGAGTAGTGAGGTAAGGGCTGGGGAGATCCCAAGGGGCTCCTGCTCTGCACTGAGGGGTGGCTTCCCAGGCAGGATGGGGGCTGAACTGATGCTTCCTGTGGAAACATCTCCATTTGTGAGTGAGGGAGGGGTCATGCCTGCTGGCCTCATCCTTGGTAGTGACCCACGTAGCAGGTGGGCTCCCCCTCTGACATGGGAGAAGGTTACAGGGTGTGATAGGGGTTACAGGGAGACCCCTTCTGCTTAAACACACCTGGGAGCTTGGAGAGGAGCTGAGGCCTTTGGGAGGCTGGGCAGCACTTGCCTGCAGGTCTTCTCTGCATCAAAGGTTCAGGCCCTTCTCCTACCCCCATCCCCAGGCATTTCAGGCAGCCCCTCCACGCACTCTCATTTACCGGAACCATAGAATGGTTTGGGTTGGAAGGGGCCTTAAAGATCATCTAGTCCCACCCCCCTTGCTATGAGCAGGGACACCTCCCACTAGACCAGGTTGCTCCAAGCCCCAGACAACCTGGCCTTGAACACCTCCAGGGAAGGGGCAGCCACACTTTCCCTGGGCAACCTGCTCATCACCCCTGAACTATTCACCTGGAGCCTGGCTCCTCCTCTCCCCCGTCCTTCTGCTGTTGTTGCAGCACCTGACACTTGATGCAGCAGCTGGATATCTCCTGCAGGCACAGCCCTTGCCCGATTGCTCGGCCTGGGTGATGAAGGGCATGGAAACCTCCAGAGGGTGGTCCTGCTGTGGAGGAAATGCCACTGTGGTTTGCTACAAGCTAGAGATAGACAGAGGTTTGATGGAGGTGGCTTGCATCAGTGCAGTTGAAAAAAATCCTTGATCCTACATACGCAAAATCCTAAGTCTGGGTAACATGGTAATTGTGTGCGTAGGACACAGCGAGCTGGTCTTGTGCTGGGGACAGTCCTGGTGTAGGCAGGATGGTGCCCAGGCCCATGGTACACTGGGGCTTCCACCAGCAAGAGAGCTGCAGTTTTCACTTCAGAGGTGACTGCACTAACTTAGGAAGAGTGTCCTGCTGACCCTGGTGTTTTTCAAGCTGGTACTTGTAAGCAACTTTGCTAAAGCTGAAAATCAGTTTACATGGGCTGAAAAATACACGTGTAGCTTTCCTGGCATTTTAATCCTGCTTATCCCCTGTGAAGAACAGCGAGTTTCAGACCAGGTCCTGCTGACTGTGCTTTGTTTTAATTTACTCTTTCTGTGCTCATGTAATGACCGGAGGTTTTGCAAAGAAAGGACCTGTGAGGGGAGGGGACCAGAGTGCTGGGAGAAGTGGCAGGGAAGGATGGAGCACCAACGTGGCACAGGGCGTGAGCACGGGGGATGCTCAGCTGAGGAGGAGCCTTGAGGAGCACGATATGGGTAATATCTTTTCCCTGGCACCTGTCATTAGGAGCAAACAGGGGGTGAGCTATGGTGCTTCCTCCCCAGCTGCTAACGACGGGAGACTTGCTTACGGTCGTGCGCTGGAAGCTAATTAAAACCGGTGACAATGGTAATTGAGTAAGGATGCTTGAGGATAAGTATGACCTCATGTCTAAAATGGTAATGAGGCCTATTAAAATCCCCACTAAAAAGAGAAAAGAAAGAGGGAACAGAGGCAAAGGTGGTGCAAAGGGAGCCGGTGTGGACAGGCACAATACCTGGCAGCCAGAGCCCTGGGAGGGATGAGGAGCATGGATGTGCTGGGCTTTGAAATCTCCTTAATAAACAGCCCACTCCTCAGCTCGCCTGGCTGCTGCTCTGGCCAAGCCAGCCAGAACGTTTTGGTAGGTGTGTCATTTAAGTGTGTTCCTCCCCTGCTCACCCAGGATGGGGTGAAGGTCCCATTAAGTGATGGCAACAGTTGTTGTTTGTTGTTGTCTTCACTTTGCTGGAGGAAGGGACTGTGCCAGGAAACTGGCAGCAGCTGTTGGTATGGGGGGGTGGAGGGGACCTGCAAAGATACGCCCTGAAGTTGAACCATTGCAGGAAAAAGTGTTGGCAGAGGGAGGTTGTGGCGAGCTTAGGCTGACCTGGCTTTGTCCCTGCAATGGGGGCGTCGGGAGCTGGGAGCCCCCGTCACCTCGGTGTGTGTTGGTCTGCAGGGTGCCACAGCTGGGCTGGGGATGCCACCGCGCTCTGCTGAGACCTGCACCCCCTGCTGACTTGCCTCGCCACGTAGGACACCCTGAGGGACGCTGGGAGGTGGGTGCTCCCCTGTCCTGTCCCTGGATGTGCACCACACCTCTCTGGGTAAGCTCAGCCCCAGGCTGCTGGACCCCTCCCCTGTGCCCCCTGTGCCCTGCTGGTGGGGGCAGATGTGGCACATGCCGAAGGCTTTTTCTTGCTGGAGAAAGCTGATCCTTGTCCTTCAGGCAGGGGTGAAGGCACTGCTGGAGGAGGGCTGAGGATGTGCTATGGAGCTGGGGTTCAACTGCTCTGAGCTCTGCGATGGCAGCTCCGGTTTCGGCGGCCGGGCGCAGCAGCAGCGGGTGCTGCAGGAGCTCTGTGCCCTCCCCGTGGTACGTACCTGGCCGGGGGGCACTCTGCGCTGGCAGGTTTGCTCCCCAGAAGTGGAGGGAGGGAGGGAGAGGGGGGCACAAGGGAGTGCAGCTGCCAAGCAATCCCAGTCCAGCAAGAGCCCGGGCACTGTCAACTCCCGAAATGGGCTGCAAGGCCAGCCCAGCCCAGGTGACACCCAGCAGTCGGGCACAAGGTGAGGAAGCAGCCACGACAGCCAAGTCGTGTCAAGCAGCCTTCCCGTGTGCTGGCCAGCGTGACAGCCACTAGGGAGTGGCCTGGGATAGCCTCTTCTGCCCTTCACCTTACCCATCCCCTGGAACTTCAAAGTGCTTTTTGAATATGAATAGAGCCAGATTTAATTAAAAGCCATCATCTGTAATAAATGGTACCTCTCCCCCTCCACCCCCCAAGCCGGTGGAAATGACACCGGGGTGCACTTGGTTGCAGTTAGCCTCACTTGAGGCTGCTGGATGGATCAGCAAGACTTGGCCTGCTTGGCTCTCCACCATGTCCTGCACGACCACGGGCCTTTAATTAGAAGACCATGAGCTGTTTGGCTCCTCCGACTCTGGCAGCTGTGACACAATTAATATTCCCCCTGCTAGGGCCAAGATTTACTCTGCTCAGCAGCAAATGGAATGCTCCATCAACTTCAAGTATCATCAACATCCAGGGAAACAGTGGTCGGGGGGAGGGGGGCAGGGGGGAATGCGTGTTTGGAAAGGAAAAGAGGGGCCACAGGGGTATTTGTGATCACTGGGTGGTTGTTGGGAAGAGGGTGCTGTAACCCTTTTGGCAGCAGTCGAAGGTGGAAAGATGCTGCTGGTGGGTGCAGCTGGGAGTCAAGTGTGGGAGCCCCAGGATGCTGAATCCACCCTGGTCGCTTTACTGGCAAAAGCCAGGTATTATCCTCAGGCTTGACCAGGCAGGATGCAGAAACAGGGTGGCGTTGCAGCCTCATCCCAGCTCCATCAGCCCCTCTGAGCTCCACATGGTGGGAAAATGGCCCTGATTTGTGCCAAATGATGGGTTTTTTTCACAGCAAGTCCTGGTGCAAGGAGAGGGGGGCTGATCTGGCTGACCATCTCCACTGTCTGCTGCTGTCTTCATATCTCAGAGAGCCAGAAGACCTCACCTGGGGATAGGGAGAGGGAAGAGGAGGTGGGAAGCAGTCTGTAGGAGGGAGATGAATATCTCCCAAGGGATGCCTCCAGGCTGCTGCAAAGCAGGGCTGAGCTGTGCATGCAGCTGTATCCTGGAATAATGCAGCAGCATCAGCTCTTGGCTGGCTGTCTCTTCCAGCCAGGGGTTTGCCTTACCCAGCAGCCCTGTGGCCAGTGTGGCACCAGCATGGGAGCTGCCAGGAGCCCCTGGATCAGCTGTGCTGGCATGTTGGTGACACATCTTTGTTTTAAGAGTTACATCTTGGCTTTAATTCCCCAACCTGTGCCTCAGTGTTTTGTTCATCTGGAGGAGTCAGAGCCCACCTGGGGAAGAGGGAGCTGAGCCATCAGCTCAAAAGGGCTGCCTTGCTCCTCCCTGCAGATTTATTTCTAGCAAGGCTGGAAGCAAAAAGCAGCTCAGACCCTGAAGGAAGAGCTGGGACTCTGGGGCAGTGGCAGCTGTCAGGAAGATAAGTCTTCTGCTGTAGAAATTGTGTGCAGGTGAACTGGAATACCTGAGCAAGGACCTTTTTTTTAATAAAAAAATATTTATCAGTAACACGCACACATGGTATATGTGAATGAAGCCCCACATGTCCAGCCTCTTAAAAACACTGGGGTATTTTAGATCTGCAACGGAAATAGGTTTCTTGTTTCATGTAGGATCATTTTATCCACCCTGTGTTAATAAGGAGGTAGCAGAGGATATTTTTAAATGCTGATTTAAAACCATAAAGTCACTTGTGTGCAAGGAGTGAAGTCCCTCCAAGATACTTGCTTGGGAGTGTCCCTCAAAAGCCAGTTCTCAGCTGCTGTGTAGCCAGGACCAAGTTAGTTTCCAGCTGGCTGGGTGATGGGTGGAGCCCAGCCTGGTGTGTGGCTGTGTAAGGCGTCTGAAAAACGCTGTCCCACTCCCTTTTCTGTGTCTTCTGCACTGACTGGCAGCCCTGCTGCTGGCTCCCAGTCACGTCAACCAGCTGGTTGGTACCTGCTGCATCTACGGGTAAGGGTGGGAGGGGCTCCCCAAACATGTCCTACCCAACTTGTCAAAGTGTGCTGCAAACTAGGGTACCATCGGGTCTTTCTCCAAAGGCTTTTTTTTCCAGAGGAGGACAGTGAGGAGCTGTCACCCATTCTCCCCTCTCCCACAGCCAAGGCTGCCTGAGGTTTGTGAGTCACTTGTATGGGTTAATTAAGCATTTGGCTTCTTGGCCATAAGAAGAGGGCTCCTGGACTGCCCTCTCCTCCTGCACGCTCAGCAAGTGGCAGAGTGTCCTGTCTACACACACATCTTGCTGGCCCTGCCTGCATGTCTTGTGCTGCTGCCGAGGTGTCTGCTCGTGGGGAGCAGTTAGAGATATGTGGTTTCTGGCTGAGCAGGAGCACCTGAGGGAATGATCATGCCAGAGCAGGGACCTCATTTGCTGGGAGCCCCTGCCACATCTTCCTCCTCACTACTTTTACCTCCCACAGACATCTTCGGACCGCAGTGGTAAGAGCTCCCCATCTTTCTCTGCTGCTCTCCTGGGAGTTGTGTGGACATTTGTGACTGGTGGAGTCCTGCTAGCACTCTTCTTTCTGGTCTTCACTATTCGCTTCAGGAAAAACAGGTAAGGGCTTCCCTTTTCTGCTGTGAGAGCTCCCCTGACATGCAGCAGTGGGGTTTGCCTCCTTCAGGGCCAGGCTCTGAGCTGATGGCCAGCTAAATATGGTCAGGAGGGTACAAGCCTGAAGGGACAGCATGGGAAAGCCATGGCAGTGCTGGGGATATTGCAGCCTTCTCCATTGTACCCAGTGTTGGTTGCTGGTGGGCACAGTCCTGCTTGGACTGCTTGCTTCCTCCCCAAGTCAAGGAGCTGTGAACAAGACAGAGCATGGATGCCCTCCAGCATGGTACAACCAGCAGTGCATGGTCTCATTCCAAAGGTGCTACTCAATAAAACCATCAGCAGGGGTGAGCAGGAAGAGAGCTCATCTCCTCCTCATTTTAAGCAGCATAGCTCCAGAGCATGGCTTTGAGCAGCATAGCTGCATGAGCAAAGCCACCATGCTCTCCACAACACTCACATTATCCTTCCTGCTGTTAGGCCACTCATATTTTGAAGATACTGATAACTTGTTTTGATGTTGGTGGTTGTCCATATTGGTAGGGAATGTGATCTACATGAATAGGAGAAACTGGTGGTGAAGTGCAGGCTTTCCTTGGTGTATAAAGTCCTGCTCCTCTGCATGCAGCACAAATGAAGCAGAAGGCTCAGGGATTCCTCAGAGCTCAGACTGTCTCAGCCAGCACTTAGCCTGAAAGCTCACTTTCTTAGCCTTTCTCAGCAATCCTGGATGTCTCACCTGCCTCCTTGCCACCTTCTCCTCAGCTTCATCGGTCCTTTGGTCCCTCAGCTGCTTCCCCCGTGGTGACACATCCTTCTTGCAAGCTTTGCCTGGCAAAGTCTTTGTGCTCCATGTGCTGCTGTTTTGCAGAGAGGAGCATTTGTACGCAGCCTGTGCTGCTGCTGTTCCAGTGCTCTGGTTGTGTTGAGAAGCATAAAGCTTCTTATAACCAGCGTGGAGGCAGGAAGGCCCTGCTCATGAGGGCTTGTCTTGGGCCCTGCTGAGGTGCAGTAGCTGCATGACCTATGTCCTGGTCTCAATCAATTTACTGAAGTGGAGTGATAGTGAGTTCAGTAGCCACCTTAATTGATGACCGAATTATTTAGGCCCCTGAAGAGTGAAGATGTAACGAGTGTGAGTTATAGGCACTGCAGCAAATAAATATGGGTCTGGCTCCCAAAGCTGGGAGGGCAAAGGAGACCTTTTCCAGCGTGCCGCTGAGAGGGTGAGCTGACTAACACCTTTCCCCATAGGCTGAGGCATGGGGAGGAAGCAGGCAGGGAGCTGGGGTGAAGCCCAGGCTCTGCATTGCTTTGGGGGCAGCAAGAAGGAGGAAGGAGCTCAAGGGGGATGGTAGGAACTACAGTTTTCGCTTGATGGGCACCATGGAGAAGGGTGACAGGTCAGAAGCGATCGGTGGGTTGATTCACCCCTCCCTGAATACAGTTACCAGTTTATGAGTGATGGGGTGAAATTACAGAAAGGAAGCTGTAACCTGAACACCGTTGGCATCTTCCTGCAGTCCAGGCAGTGCTGAGGGTGGAAGTGTCTCCTCAAAGGAAGGAGCAGGGGGAAGAGCCTGCTCCTGCAGGTATTTATAGCTGCCCTACCCAAGGCTGACTGCTGCGGACAATCACCCTGGGCCATGCTGGTGAGGTTTTCCACTTTTGCCCCTTTACAGCAGAGGGCAGTGAAGGAAGATATTGGCCTTCAACCCAGGGGGCTGGGCTGGGCACTGTGTCGTGTTCCACCTCTGCCCTGCTGACAGAGCCAGAGCAGCTTTATGTGCCTGACATGGGCATTGGTAGTAGCAGAGAGAAAGAGCTGTGGTGGCCCTCTCTGCCTCGCCACCAAAACCCATGGCTTGCCAGGGTTTTGTCCATAAAGACACTAGCTGAAGCTGCCTCAGGGATGCTTTTCTGTGCCACAGACACCTTGCAGGGGGTAAAGGTGCTGTGGTGTAAGCCTGGTGCCCATGTGTTTTGGGAAGGATCTTGAGGGATCTTGCTGTCCTACAGGATTGTCTGGGTAGGGCAAACTTAATACTTTTAAGGATAGAAAAGTAGTTCAGCAATGCAGGGGAGTGGGTGGTGTATGCACCATGGAGCAATGGCTAAGCTTTTGAAGGGGCTGTGAACAGCAGGAACTGGGGGTGGGGGAGAGGGGTCACAGGGCAGTGTCTCAGCAACCCTTGTGTCCGTCATCATCCCTGTAAGGGGCCCCAACTTGCCCCTGTGCTGCCACGTCGTGATGGTCAGTAGCTGTCACAGCCTTCCCTGCTTTGTTTCCTGGAGGATCGTGAAGATGTCCAGCCCCAATCTGAACATTGTGACCCTGCTGGGCAGTGGCTTGACTTACGCTAGTGCATACCTCTTTGGGATTCAGGAGCAGAGCCTGCCCTCTGGAGACTCGGTGGAAAAGCTTATTCAAGTGAGTGTGGGATGGAGGGGGAGAGTTTCTGGGACAGGTGCCTGCACACACAGACACGTGCATGTACACACGTGCACAGGTCCTGCGAGGCTGCAGGCACGTTTTTTAGCTGCAAAGCAAATTTTCATCCAAATGCCAACCTGTGTGATGAACCCCTGTGTCCTGTTCCGGAGCAACTACCCTGCAAGACCCGGGGGGTGGGAGGTGGACAGTGACACAACTGGGCACAGAGGCAGGAGGAGGAGTGGGATGTGGGAGACAGCACACCCTGCTGTCCTGTTCGACTGCTGGGCTGAGGGTAATTAACAGAGGTACCAGCGAGTGATTTATTGGTGCTCAGCCCCTCCGTGCCCCTGCTGCTCACAAGCTGCATGGATGGCCCTTCCTGCTCCTCCGATAAGAGCCTGTTGGGGAGAGGAGGAAAAGACAGGCAGGCGGGATTCCTGCAGAGGAATACATGCCTTTTAATTTATGTTGCTCTGCAGCCAGCTTTCTAGTATCTGATATAACCCTCCAGAAGACTGTAGACACATTCCCACCCGTCTTTACTGTATCCCTGGCTGGGCATGGGGTGTCCCTGTGAAGCCCATGGCTGCCCCTTCAGCCCCCTTGCTCTGCCCTCTCCCTCAGCAGGTGCGGCTCTGCTTGCTGTGCGTGGGGACCTCCCTGGTGTTTGGCCCTATCCTGGGGAAAAGCTGGAGGCTGTACAAGGTGTTCACCCAGAGAGTGCCAGACAAGCGGGTGGTGAGTACCTAGCAAATTCCCCAAGGGGTACAAACACCAACAAGTCCCAAACTCTTGCAGGATGGCAGATAAAATGGTCACACGACAGGGAGGGGTGCCATAATCATAGGTCTAGTTTCACACCTAAACGGGCATCAGTGTCTCATTTATTCCTGCACAATGAGACAGGAGCTTTTCTGTTCTGCAGGCAAGCAGATACCCTGCCAGGCTGCCTGTTCCTGATGGAAGTCCCAGCTCCATCACTGAGCGAGGTCTTGTTCTCATTTTACACTGGCCACATGCCTTCCTTACACTGCATGCCAGTGTGTATGTCTAGGTCTGGGCTGATTACTTTTGTGAGGTGAAATAACCTAGGTATTCTCAAGGGCACTCAGATGCATCTGATCTCCTCCTGAAGGGAGGGGACTCCTCTGCAGCACTGAAGGAAGGGGATACAGCAGGTGGGAGGAAAATGAGAGCCACCTATAAAAAATGAGTGCATGTAATGCTGCACTTGCAGTTTTCAACATCTGGTTTCCAACAGCAAAAAAAAGTAGATCCCAAAAGAAAAGTGAGAGACGAGAGGGTTTGTAGAGGAACAAGCAAGTACTCTCATTCATGAGGCACTGGGCTCCGTGTTAAATTTGCACTGCTGGAGAGATTTTATGTCTGGCTCCAAGCCCAAATTAAATCTCCTAAAAGTCTGGAAGATGGAGACAAAGATACTGTGGCCAACTCAGATGCAGGTGAGCTGCTTAACTCTGCTCTGGAGGTAGTAAGAAGCTACTAGAAAGAGAGACCTGGGCGACAGAGGTTATTGTTGTTCATTTGCTTACCATGTTGTCCATGGTAATGTTTACTTCTTATGTGTTTGCAGATTATCAAGGACCTCCAGTTGCTGGCGATGGTGGCAGCACTGGTGCTGGCAGACACTGTGTTACTCTTAACATGGGCATTCTCTGATCCAGTCCAGTGTTTCCGAAGCCTCAGCGTCTCACTGCGGGTAAAGGGATGAGAAGGGGTGGTGAAGGGTTGTGCCATGTCCTGTCTGATCTCTGCGGACAAAGTTGGTGGGTGTTCAGGCGTTCAGAAGTGCTGTTTAAAGAAACAGAAATAAAAACAAGCCAGAAAACTTTCTGGTCGCTTTGGGTGGGGTTTATGCCTAGCCTATTAAAGACGTGAGGTTCCACTGCCAAATTTCCAGGTCTGTGCACCCAAACTTAGCAAGGAAGAGCTGGCTGCAGGGTTTTGGTTTGCCAAGCAGTGGAGTCTGGTAGATGACCTTGATGAGCCTGTGCAGGTCTCCTGGGTGACACAGGAAGGGTCCATGGCATCTGCAGGTACTTTAGAGAAAGGTTTAACTGGCCCTGTTGGCAGTGGAGTGCCAAAGTCTTCCTTGCTTTAACCCTCAGCCCCTGGCAGCACCAGTTTTGGCCTTTCCTTTCAGGAATTTACAGAGGAGGCCACCTCAAATACCTGTCTGCCCACTGGTCTGTGCCTGCTCCCAGGCAGCAGCCTTCACTTCTGCCTTCCCCTTGCCTCCTAGGCGACAGAGAAAGGCATGACCTGCTCAGTGAACCGCGTGCAGTCCTGTGCATCTCTTTATTCCGATCTTTGGCTCGTTCTCATTTTAGGGTTTAAGGTACGTAACCTCTTTATAGGCTCTTGCCTTCGATCTCCCCTTCTCCCAGTCTCCTGGCCCAAACTGTTTAGCAGCATTTCCCTCCCAAGCTACATGCCTATTGCCGATTCCAGCTACTCCTGTTCATCTTGAAAGCCCTCCCATCTCCAGTCCTTCCTATCTTGATATTTTTCTTGCCTTCCCATGTAATAGCCCTCTTAGCCACTTTCCCCCTGCCTCAGCATCTCTTTCTACATACACTGTGCACATACAGTCTCTCTAGTCCTCTCCCTGCAAGCTGCTGTGCCTTGTCTACCTCCCTTCTTACAACTTGTGTCTGACTGTTTTCTAAAGCACGTTTTTTCCAGAAAGCCTCAGGTGACCATTCACCGCAGTGATGCACTTTGCAACTCAGCCTCTGAGTCCTCTGACTCCAAATCAAGGAGGTGCTGCTGACAAGTGCTTGGTGCCTACCTTTACAGGATGTGTATCAGCTTAATTATACCACTGCGTTGCACTTTCACTGGCCTAGCTTCACACGTGGCTGTTCTTATTCCAGCAAAGTTAGTTATACTGATGTAACTATGTATGTATAATTATTGCTGTAATTATCTGTGGTCTCATGTGTCTCTGGGTTGGTGGAGGCTGGACGTGTTTCAGAAAGCTGATGTTGATGAAGCTTGTGAGATCACAGCCTTACTTTGGGAATGGCTCCATCTCTGCGTGCAGGACAGGCAGTCCCTTTCTGACTCAGTGCAATGTGATACTCATTGACCATCTACCCAAAATCATAGGAAAAAGAGCAGGGAGAGACCTCACAATGCTGCCAAGTCCTTCTCCCCCTTGCACTTCATTTTAAAGGCATTAGTCTAGCTTGTCCTTAAAAGCCCTTCGGTGCTAGGGATTGCAGGCATTCCCTGGCTTTCAGTACTGTGTTTCCACCTCTGGTTTTGTCTGCAGTTTGTAATCCTTTTGCTTATAGCTCCTGCAAACTCCTTTCTGGAACAAAACATCCCCATTCCCATTGCCAGGTACTCTTTGTTAGGGTTGCATTGAACCTGACCCTGATCCTGTCTACCTACTAGAGGGTCGTGGAGTTATTTCTTTAGTGGCTTTTCTGGAGCTAATCTGGATTTACACTAATGTGAGAGCACACTCTCTCTGTGCACGTAGCACTTCTTATCTTCCACGGCATTAATGTGCTCAGCCCTTTATGAAGCCGCTCAGTGTATTATCCTGGTTTTACTGGCACAGAGCAATGAGCAGAAATTGCTTGCCAAGGACATGCCTGAAATTAGGAGCAAAGTTCTCTGCTGAAGATTAAAAAAAAAAACAACACAAAAAAACCCCAAAAAACTTAGTCCTGTGTTTACCGAAAATTTATGTTTTTAGTAATATAATACTGACATATTCAGTATTAAAATACTGAAAATAAACTTACTAGTTTACCAGGCAGTAGTGCTATTGTCTATGTCCCAGATAGAGTAGATGAATTTTAATAAAGTCAATGAGACTTTGTTTTTTTTCCTTGTTCAGGGCTTAGGAGTTGGCTTGTGGGCAATGTACTTGGAGGTGCCCCATTATGATCCAGTGCAGAACCTACAAAGCAGGGTTAGGTTCCCAGTGAGACTGCTTTCACTATTACAATACCCTCTTGAGAATTCATGGTGCTCTGAAGTTGGGAGTCTCACCAAAGACCATGGACATGAACCTGTCTTGCCTGTAAGAATATCCCTCCAGACTCTAACCCTGGCAGTGGTCATTAAGGTCATCAAGCAGTCACAACATGGAGGGGTCCAAAAGGGTCTACAGAACATGTGCATTATAGGTCACAAAACACTTATTGATGCCCTAATAATAATGTCTCTTAGTAAAAGATCAACAGTTGCTCTTACTGGGTAGCACAGTAATCATGTAGGAGTTGTGTTCCCAAAATTCTGGGTCCTTGCAGGAGCAGGGATTTTGTTAGATGGTATTTTGAAATAATCCTAAAGGCCCTGTGCTACAGAGCAAAAATGCTCTGTGTTTCCTGCCAGTGTGCCCTAGAGAAGGAGGGACTCAGCCTGCTAGATAGCTTAATCCTGAGCGCACTGGAAATATGAAGGCATGGGACACTTGAGGGGCAGGGCAATGAGGAAGCCTGCTCTGAAACAGCCAGCCTGCTCCGGGGGAGAGGGCCTCTGTGTACAGAGCACTTTCCAGCCCCCTTCAGCCTGCTGGTCAGGCAGGAAACAGCAAAAGGAGGAAGAAGAATTGTACCTGGTAGTTTCCTGGATTTCTATTTAAAGAGGCACTCAGTATGTTGTCTTCCGCCCAGTCTAAACCTCCATTTCCTCTGCCTTGCTTTCTCCTGAATGCCCTTTTGAATCTCCTTCCTGCTCCTTCAGAGGAATGTGTTTGCTCCTTGATGCCACCCCACTGCTGCATCCCCACAGGGACCATGTCTGTCCATCTTCTCTGCTCCTGCTCCAGGCTGCCCGAGGGGAGCTTTTCACATCTTGCCTCTCCTAGCCATGCCCTGCTCTGTGGCATCACCTGCTGACCTGACCCTCTGCTCCCTGCAGCCCTTGCCTGGGAGCCCCATGGCCCACCAGCTCCCTGGCTCCTGCCTGCTCTCCCCAGCCCCACTCCTGACCTGTGGCAGCGTGCTGGGCGTCTGCCGCGGCACCACCGCCGCGCGCCGAAGGTCTGCATTATAGATCAAAGAGCATTAATTAGGATTGTGCTGAGTGTATCTGAGCTCATCGGGCTCTGTTCGAGGTGGGGGTTGACACCATCAGGCTGTAATTTTCCACACTCTGGAAACCTCTTTTTTCTGCTTCCAGAGTATCCTCCTGCTGTATGGGACCTACTTGGCCGGTCTGACGGACAACGTCAGCTCCCCGCCAGTCAACCAGTCCTTGACGCTCATTGTTGGGGTCAACCTTGTTTTCCTGGCTGCCAGCACAGTCTGCTTAGTTCATCGCTTCTTCCGCGCTTGGCACAACTTGGTGTTTGGTTTTACCTCTGGAGGCATCTTTGTGTGTACAACCACAATCAACTGCTTCATCTTCATCCCACAGGTATGCGGCCACCTCTGTCCCACCACCTGGCTGGAAATGGTCACATTTTCAGAGTTTAACAACAGCAGCTGTGTGGGTCAGACCAGTTATTTCCCTGCTTCTTTTCCCAAATGTTTGGGCTCACCCGCAGAGCTCATCCTCCAAGCCCCCAATGGCTCTGCTTCCCCCAGCAAGTTCCCTGAGTCTCCAAGGAGTGCAGACATGCTGCAGAGCTGCTGCTCAGAAACCCTCCTGCAAGAGCATGCCACGGGTGGCAGCCACACAAAGGGCATGCACATGTGGCCACTCCAAGGGTTTCTGCCCATGGCAGGGATGGAGCTGGGCCCTGGCCATCCAAATGGCCTTGCCAGGCTTGGAGGCTTTGTGTCTGCTGGTGGTCCCCAGGGAAGGCTGTCCACTGTGGTCTTGGAGAAGGAAGCTGGACTTTGGCCTCAAGAGAGAAGGAGGACGTGGAGATGTTTGAAGGAAGCCTTTTGTGGTGAGGCAAGGCGCTCCTGCTTCCTGTGTCCTCCAGGAGTAGTGTGGTGTGCCTGGCCATGAAGTTAGTGGGAAGAATGCTCCCATTGTTACAGGGAGAGGAAACAGTTGTTTACTCAGCATAGCGTTTGGAGGGGTGTTTGGGTTCAAGGAAATGAAGTGAGAAAGGGAGGAAGAGATGAAGCTGAAGAAAGAGCACATCTGTGTAAGGGAGGGCTCGAGGGATCTCACCAATGTGTATAAATACCAAGGGGGGTGGAGCAGGGATGAGGGAGCCAGGCTCTTCTCAGTGGTGTCCACTGACAGGGGACAATGGGCACAAACTAAAACACAGGAAATTCTATTTAAACATCAGGTGGGTGTTGTTTGTTTTTTTTTTTTCTATTAAAGCTATAATTCACTTGAGCAGGTTGCCCAGAGAGGTTGTGGAGTGTCCATCCTTGGAGATATTCAAGCCCCAGTCAGACACAGTCCTGGGTAGCCTGCTCCAGCTGACTTTGCAGGGTGGTTGGATTAGATTATTTCCGGAGGTCCCCTCCTACCTCTGTTGATGCAGTCTAACTACAGAGTCCCAACCCACTAGATAAGCAGCCCTTGGGAGCAGGAGCCAAACCTCCTCTGACAAGCACCAAGACTACTAGCAATGCTGTGCCAAGTGCAAGGTCTTGTAGCAAGGGTGGAGGAGCTGCTGAGCTGTACTTGCACTCTGCCTGTACCATTTTTCTGCTGCAGCCTGGGGGCCTTGAACGTTTTATTTAACTTACATCTTTTAATTCATCAACTTGTTTTTCTTAATGGGTTTGCACTTCTATCGCTCACCCGAGATCAATAAGCAGCTGGAGCTTGGCTTCTAGATGAGAAAATGGATACTACGCGTTGCTGGTTCTCAGCTTGTCACCAGCGATTCGGGGATAAGGAGGCGTGGGTGACACCGCCTTTGTCTGCCAGGGAGTCAGGGAGGGGGGAGAAGAGGGAGGGGGCTCTCACAGCACGCTTAGAGGTTGCAGCACAGGCAGGCACCGACCTTCTCTGCATGAAAAGCTGGAGCCAGGGACACACAGCAGGGCTCAGATGGGTGGGAGGCTCCCAATGACAGTGCAGCCCCTTGCCCAGCCATCTCTCGCCGCCCGTCTCTGCTCCTCCGTCACACCCTGCCTTTGTTTCCCCCTTCTCCATCCCTTGCTCCCCGGGGCGCGGGCGCTGCGGCTGCCGCCTCGGCGGGGGCTGTGCCTGCCGGGCGGGTAACACCCTCTTCTGCTCCCCAGCTCAAGCAGTGGAAAGCCTTTGAAGAGGAAAGCCCAACCGTGAGCCACATGGCGAAATATTTCAGCAGCCCGAGCAGGAGCTGCCGCTCGGTGTACAGCGAGGAGCAGCTCTACCAGCTGATAGGGGAGAAAAACTCCATGAAGCGGCTGCTCACAGAGGTGCTGGGCTCTGCCCGCCCCCCCGGCTCCAGCTTCTCTCCCCCTTTGTGCGCTCAAGGTTTTCCCAGGGCGAGGAGCCTTTCCTTACGTTCCATGCTGGTGTTCTTCCTCCAGCCTCTTCTCTCTGGAGGGGAAGAGCTGCTTTGTGTTGGCACATCGCTCTGCACCCCACAAGTGCAAAAATGTGCACGATCCAGACGGATGAAAAAAAATACAAACAAACAACCCTTGGAGGGAAAAAAAGCAGGAGACTGTGGTTTCCACAGCTCGGTCAAACATAGCTCATTTAGAGAGGATATGCTCTGTCTCAGCAAAACCCCCAGCCTTCTGCTCTGTCACCCATGCTTAGGGGCTGGGGTGCCCTGATTAGAGAGCTGCCTGCCTCAGTTTCCCCCTTTCCACACCCACATCTGAGGGGCTCCGAGAGGCTTCAAGGGAGGAAGAGGTCACACACACATAGTGCCACTCAGGCTCTCACAAGCCTGCCACTGCACTGCCTCAGAGCCCCTCTGCCTGCAGAGAGGGGTAATTCATTTTCTGCCAGCCCCTGCTTCCAGATTGGTGGCTGTTTGGTACCCTCCACCAGTGCTTGACAAGTGTATTTGTTTGACACAGAAAAATGCTGTGATCGAAAGCCTGCAGGAGCAAGTAAGCAGTGCCAAGGAGAAGCTGATGAGGCTGATGTCTGCGGAGAGCTGCGACCCCCACGTGCCGTCGGCAGCTCCCTGTGCCCAGAGTGTGGGGATGCACGAGGATGTGCCGGGGGGCTGCTGCCCTCCAGAGCTGCAGCAGGATGGGTGGCAGTCTCCCCACTTGCTGAGTACACCACCTTTCTGCAGCAATGCCCAGGACCTCCAGAAACATGCGAGCCAGGAGCCTGTTTGCTCTCAGATGCTGCTTTTTGACACAGAGGGTGGCCTTGAACGTGGCCTGAAAGACACCGGGGAGCACGGGACACCTGCAGGGCAGGGGCAGCCTCTGGAGCAGCTTCCCAGCCAGGACGTATCAGCTGGCGTGGCCTGGGAGTCGTCCCCCAAAGTCAGCTATGTGAGCCGTGAGAAGCTGTGGGAAATCTTGCAAGAGCTGAGCCTGGATGGCAAAACCTACAGCCCAGCCTTACTGGAGGGGCCCTCACGTGGCAGCCCAGGCCTCCCAGCTGAGCAGGGAGGAACGTGGGGAACCCAGGGGGGCTACCCAGGCATCCACAGGGCCCTAAGCCCCTACCTGGCAAGGCGACGGCGGAGAATCCCGCTGCCCACCACCTCTTCCCGCTTCTCTGGACACGTGTCCTCTCGTGCCAGCCACGGGGTGAAGGAGGTGGGTGGCTGGGGCCGTGGGGAGTTGGCGCATATCTCCCTGGGGAGGGAAGGGGAAATGGCTGGCAGGGAGCTCCTTCAACCACCAGCACCATCTCCTCCAGCCATCCCCATTTCCAGCAAGGTCTCCCTCCAGCCAGAGGGATGGCCAGGCTGGCCTGAGTCCCAGGTGGCTTCTCCATGCCTCCCACGGGAGCAGCGGCGGTGGCGGGGCACCCTGAGGGGGCCTGGTGAACCCTCCCTGCGCTCTCTGTACTATTACCCGGACTCTGACTCCAGCAGCAGCAGCAGCAGCTCTGAGGAGATGTTTCATGGCTGCCACCGGCCCTGCTGTGACGTTTGCTTCCAGAGCCCGCGCGGCTCCCTGGGCAGCAGCAGCACAGACACAGACACGGAGCCCAGTAGCTGTGCAGTCCACCACACAGGGCACCACAGTGGGGCCCAGACCGTGGTGAATTTCAAAGAAGATCTGAAACCCACCTTTGTGTGACTGCAAGCACCTCTGCCCCAAAGGCAAGTGCCCTCCTGCCCCCAAAACACTGTGTGTCTTCAGCTATGCTAAAGCCACGTGTCACTCCAAGGGATGCGTCTTGTTCTAGCATCTGGGGGCAAACCTTGTCCTGGTCCAGGTTGCAGTGTCAGCCCCAGCCTGGTCAGTGGTGACTGCAGACCATGTTTGGCTGAGAGGTTGTTGGCAGGACTTGGGGGAGGTGAGGGTGGTTTTGTCTGCAGCCATGCACACCACAGGTACCTGGCACGTCTGTATGTCTGTCCCGGCGCTGGCAGTTGAAAGACTGGAGATGAGTCGTCTGTGTGAGCCCAAACTTCTTAATCTCAGAGGGGCTTTCCCTGTGAGGGCTGGGCTGGGTGATCACGCCAGCAGGGAGTGTCTCAGAAACACATGGCTTCTTGCATAGGGCAGATAGACAGATGGAGGACTCCTTCCCCTGAGGCTGCTGATGCTGAGCCTCCCACGAGCACCAGAAGCAGTTGCAGGCTGCGTTAACCTGGGGAGCACTGCTCCCTGGCAAAGCCAGGACCTCAGAGTGGGATGGGCACTTCAGACCTTCAGGTTTGGGGGGTTTTTTTGGTAGCACCTGAGTGAGAAAATGGAGCCCAAAGGTGACATCCCTGGAGGTGTCTGCATATTATTATGTAGCTTAGTTGAGTGGTTGCTGTTGAGGCTCGGGTCAGGGCTGCAGGGAAAGAAAACCAGTAATGGTAAAAGAGAATCAGAAAAGGTTTTTCTTTAAATTTTATTTTTTTTTTCCTCCCTGTTTTCCTGTGGCTTGTGCCCTTCTGTATGCCTTTGTATGGATGATGTAGTCTGGAATGAGGTTTGTTTAAATTTATATGGTCTGTTTCTTTTTTATCTTAGAAATATCAAGGACAGTAAATCCAGTGTGCCTACTTTGGTTTCAGGTATTTGTAAATGCATTTTAGCCTGTCGTTGCCTCCAGAGGAGATGTTCAGGATGCTGAGACCTGATGCCCAGTGCATAAAAAGCCCTCTGGAGAAAAGCTTTGTTAAAAGGGTGCGTGACAAGAATCCCAAACCCAGTTTTGAACCATGTGTGTTAGCACTGCCCTCTCCATTATCCCTGAGGGTGGTGAAATCCCTCACTGCCATCTCCTAACAATATTCCCATAGCCCCTCTTTGTTCCTAAAATGAAAACACCCCAGAGGGCGATCCCAGTTTTCTTTTTGTCACCTTTAACTAACGGAAACCACTTTTATTTCTGTCAGAGATGCCTGAGCACTTAGGGCTGGGGGGGGGGGGGGGGCTGCCTGGTTGGCTCTGGCCTGGCTGAAATGCATCGACTGGGTGTCTCCTGCTGCTGGCGGGGGG